ACCCCCAGCCATCGCAGGTCACACCAATGAGTGGTTTAAAGCCACCGGTTTAAAGCATGGGTCTTTTGGGTCGAACCTCTGTGGTTGTGACCGCGATGTCGAACTACGATAGGCTACATGAGATCCACTCTGTCGAAGGATCTCAATAAGGACAGTGCAACTCATCCGGGCAACTCGGTCGAAGAGGTGTCCAGAAGCCCGGTTCCCAAACCCAAACCCGTTTGGTTTCGGTGACACGCAATCACATTATATAAGGTCTTGAAGAACTCGACCTTGGTCATCAGAACTCTGTTTCACCTGGAAAGGTCATGGACACCAAACGTCTCTGACCTGTCCAAGTGAAATGGAGATCAATCAAAGCCTGGCCTCATCGAAAGACCAGCTGGTCGCCAAAGAAACGGCGAGAATGTTTGGCCAAAAGATCTAGGGTTACAACTGGGGAATTGAAAGCGATCGAAAGTGATTCGGAATCCCCATGGATTTCTGCAAATGTTCAACAAACAATGATACGATTTCACCTGGGTATACATGTTTAATTTGCCTGCACCAAGTGGCCCTTCGAATTCATGGCCGGTGAATGGTACACTCCCTCACCCACATGGAGCAGGAAACATGAACATTGCAAGGTACCACTGTTCATTTGGGGACATGCCATCCAGAATCCATGCCAAAGAATGCGAAACACTGCAAACAAAATACAGTATGTGATGCCCTAAGTTCCCTTTTAAAAAAAGAAATTATATTATACTATACTGTATATGGATTCCTTTTTGGCTACCTACCTGGCTGGGCAAATATTCCGGTCCCATAGATTGTCTGGGCAACGATTCTTCAGGTTGCTGAAAGTGATTTTTTTCCGTGTTTTGTCTCGAATCGGCCGGCGAGTCGCGAAGTAAATCAGCCATGCAGTGAATTCAGTCGTACTGAGGTTGGCCCTGCATGATGGGTTGACTCAACAAACGCACTCGCCGAGATGATGTCATCAACTCTTCATATCAAAACTTGGGATGTTTTGACGTTCCTTTTTCTGTAGACTCTTGATTGTAGTTCATTACCCCAGGCCTGAAGAGGTTTTTCAATCCATGTCTGGGGGAATATATTAATCAAGAGTTTACATGATCATGAAATCTTTGATAAATCGAAGTCAGACAGTCTGAACCCCCACCAGTGGGGGGGCGACACTCAACGACTCCTTCAGTCTGTTCGTCTTCCACTTCACCTGCGGCGCGCTCGCTTCGCCCCAACCCAGGAGACCAGTACCAGTGGTCTAGTGGTCCACCGTTTTCATTGACGTTATGTGTGGCCAACATGAGACATCGCAACAACTGACAGTATGATAGAGGGGGTATAGAAAATATTCATTATGGTATATGGGGTAGCGATGGAGTGTGCTTAAACCTGACTCAGGGTTGAAAAGCACTGGATGCCCGCAAGGTCAACTGAGTCAACTAGACCCGGTCACCATATTAGTTCTGGTCCAACATGTCTGTATAGAAGGTATTTTTGTATTTTCCTACATATGAGGTTGTGTAAAAAAAACGCTACCTTTCCCTATACCACTTTGACTATGTAGCTGCAACAAATGCAGTATAATGTAGTGTGTGCACTAAATACATGTGGTGTGTGGAACCTTGCAGGCATGAACACATTAGGCACACTTCAATCCAACTATACCCATGTGGTGGCCTGCCTACGGAAAAGTGATTTAGGTTTGCCGTGTTGTCGTTTTTGTTATGGTTTTGTTGTATCGTTTTCATGCCTGGTGAAAGTTGGAACACCATGTTGCACAACAATGCTGTAGCACAAGGCTACAGCGGTCCAAGCCCTCCCACCTCTGTCCAAGCACATACCCACCAACAGCAGTCATGCATTGACCCTGACAATTTGGAACAGTAGTAGGTTTTCTGTTTGTGTGTGCACGCGTTTCTTCACACCACTTCTCGCAGGTCAAGGGCTTTCCACAAGAGTCATCGGGGGTTATCGTTTTTTTCCTTATCGTTTTAAAGGGGATTGAGCATGCTTCCAGAAAAACGGACATGCGAATACAAATTTCTTACACGGGTTGTTTTGTACTCTCTCATATGTTGTGGTCCCAACATGTCTGTATCTCTCCCTACGTTCCTCGAACCGGTGTTCCTTCCCCTTCCATCCCCCCCTGGGCGCCGGGTGTCGTCCCTCTTCCGGGCATCGCCCTGGGCGTTCGTCACGGACGGACCGAACCACCGAGATGGCCTGGGCCAGTCACTCTCAATCCAAAGAGAAGCCGCCACCACTGGGGGTAGGTCACCATCTCTGGTCAACGCTGCTGGGCAAAAAAACAGGGCTCTATCAGGGTCCTTGTTTTGGAGAATCGCCTTTTTTGTGGCCGGAGCTTTCACTTGCTTCTTCACCGGTTCTTCTATATCTTCTATCTGCACCATGGCATCCATGGCATGGGCTATGAAAACTGCCAATAGAAACGTATCAAAAACCGAACAATAACTGATTGACATCAAGTTATATAATGGACTCCAAAGAACAATAGAACATGAAGAAGCCATGGATGTGAGCCAAAAAGGTGCTGCTGTGGGTGCTGAAGCGACAACAGCAACTTTCTATTCTTGGGGAATCCTCTGTGTTGGAAGGGGTTATCTGTGCTTTTATAGAAGGCCACATTGACAATGACCTGATTTCTCTGGACACTCGGGTGAGGACTCTTTCTGCTGACCCGAAAACTATGCCCTCTTCCAATGACTTGTTGTCATCCCTCCTTGGACCAATGCCACGTACTAAGAAAATCCACAGTCCTTCCCATGGGCCAGTGTGCCATCATGTGCCATCATATCCACTCTAACGTCATCTCTGCCAAATATAAAGCTCGGAGATCAATCGAGATCAATCCTCTCAGTCTCTCCAGCAGCCTGAGCCCGCAACATCTGGCCTCCATGTCCCTTTTTGAACTCCCCCAAAAAAGAGAGGAACTCGTGGAATCCACCCTGATTCTCTACATCTGGACGGGTCCTGACTCTCTCTTTCTCTTTCGCAGCGCCGAACCGTCCGGCTCCGCTCCGCTCCGAGGTGCCGCGGGCGTCGAACTGCAGGTGGAGGGCGTGGAGCGGCCCTCGAGGAGTGTCAGCGAGCTCCCACGGCTGGCGGACACGGGGCGGCAAAGAACGGGGGGGACCGGTTGGGCCAGCGGAGGAGTCAATTATCCTGGTATGAGTGTGTAATTACAATATGTACTCATGTATATTACTATATGATGGATATGTCTGTGTACATGTGATTAGTGATAAGTATAGAAAAAATAGAAAAACATTACATAGACAAGCACCCTCCAACATGTGTTTTCAGGTGACAACATGTGCAAAAAAACATCGGTTGGGGTCCAAAAAAAACAGCCTGTTGGAGGCTCCTGTTGTATCCCGGTTTTGAGGTTTTGACCGATTCTTCGTTGCATGATTCTGACAGGGGGGTTGGTATGGAATCCAGGAATGGTGTCAGGTGCTGCTTCTCACTCCAGCAATTGTTCATCAAGCATTTCATCTAGCATTTCAAGCCACTGGCAATGTGCGGTTGTAGGATTTGCCCCTTGGTTTGCAAAAGGATGCGCACCAAATACGGTAATATTACTAATTATACTATATCCGGTTTCTCTATTTTCAGGGTTAGTAACTTTTGTGATGATCATGATGCAGAAACGACTCAAAACAAACAGTTCCACGCCTGCCGGACCGAACCACCATCATTCAGCCACATGACCGACCTTGTTTTTTCGTCCAAATCCGGGCACCTCCCCATAGAATCACCAGCAACCCTTAGCTCGCGTGAATCCGATCTCTATCAGCATCCTTCATCCTTTTCCACCTCCAATTCACTCGGGTCTCCCGTCACCTCACTGTCGCTTGCTTTGTAAGCCGTCCCCGCCCGCCTCTGGGCCCTGATCGTTCGTTCGCCCACGGAAGACCTGCGGTCTGATTGGTCCATGGCAAATGTTCCAAGGCACAGGGGGAAGAGATGTGAAAAAACCACTGGCAGGGGAGAAGCACATCCCAATGGAGAAGGACAAATGTTCAAAGGCAAGGGCTTGGGGAACTCCCCGTGACTCCCTGCTTGGCTCCCTCAAAGGTTGCGCCAGCTAGGCTCATGTACTCCAAACACTCCCATGATACTTCATGGATGGAGATATATACCCTATAGGAATCCAGTCGTGCCACTGGACCCTCCTGTCACCTACATCACAGTGTCTCCACCGTACGAAGAAGAAGGTGCGACCTACATATTCACCCCCGACCGCAGCAACCTCCGGCACCCGACCCGACATGACCCGACCCATCTGTCCGAAAGCCCAAGTAAGTCGCTCCCGGAAGCTCCCGGACGAGTCGTTTTTGGAAGGCTCTCTCGTTATTTGTTTATATGTCATATATACTTGTTATGCAATTTTGTTTTTTATTTTTCTCATAAGGGAGTTGTTGTTTGCATTGTTGTTTTAATAGATGTTTTGCTTACCCCCCCATCTCAAAGACTCTAGGAAGAGTTTTGAATTATATGTTTGTTGATTTGTGTTTTTTCAACGTCTGGCCACTTTGACGGTCCCATCTTCTGTGAATCGATCGATGATCGACCAGGAAGAAGAGACACGCAGTGACGTAACTTCTTGAGAGGCACGTTCCGTGTCTTGAATTCATGTGATGTTTCCTCGGATTTATGTGCTATCAGCACTGAAATTATTTTCTACACTCCCTGGGAGTAGCGAGGGTCTGAGGGGTGGTATTCACGGCGCGTTTTTAGCAGATTTATAGATTTCTGAGGATTTATAGAGATATGTGTTTGTTCCCACACCATTGATGATCATTGATGGAAAAGTCCTACACAATTACCCTCTTCATGTTCCATGATCTTAAATACAGTATATGTATATGTATTGTCTAATGTGTATATTTATGTATATATATATATATTGCCATGCCTGTGCATGTATAATATGTGTTTTCATCTGCATATGAATATATATAATATAAGGGTACAACATGGTACAACCGTATAACTATAACAAATTCCAAGCGCATCAATGACCTGGAATCTTCTGGGCATCTATCTTCACTTCGCTGCTTCATCTCTCTTCACTGGCTCCCTGTTCTACCGCGCTTTTTTGGGCTCCTGCGACGGCTGTTGGGATCCTTCGATTCCAAGACGTCCCACCAAGCATCGCCACGCTTCACGCAGGCCTGGAGTCGACCGTCGACCGCTCCAACGACGGGTTTTCGTGAGGAGCTTCGGTGACACGGTAGGACCTGGTTCGGCAGAACTCGGACCTTCCACATGGGCGAGTGGAGGGAATCAAGCTCTATGCGAGATGTGATGAGACGAATTATATATATATAGGCCTCGTACTTTTGGAGGAGCTTGGTGATCGTCTTTCAGATTCTGTGCCAATATTCACCACAGGGCCCCAAGATTGCATGGAATTCGGTGGACTATGGGCAGAATGCGTGTGTTAAGTTCTTGTTGGTTCCATTTCGTTTCCATCACACGTTTCCATGCCCCGGTCCAAGCCACAATATTGCTCCAGCGTGTCTTTTCAAAAGCCTTCTCATAGCCTCGAAAGCAAGAAACAAATTCATCCCAACACCCTCGACGCGGCCGAAAAACATAGGGCGGTTCAGGTGGGAGTCGAGTCATGTAGACCCTTGATGTTATTTCAACCCCCAGGTCTGAATGAGGTGTTGCAATCCAAATTCCAGGGGCTACATGGTGATCATGTCGGACGTCATGAAGGACGAAGTTATCTATTGCAGTCTATTTGCATCACCAAACTTTCGGCTATAGGTCAGGATGGCTGACGACACGTCAAGTGATCTTTCAAAGCTGCACATGAGATACAACCTCTTATATATTGAGCCACCTTCTGTGGCCACGAGGAACAGAAACTCATGGAATGTCTTGTCACTGGAGTTGCCACATGTTCGTCAATGCCCATCTCAAGCAAACCTACACAAATCACTACAGTAGTTTTCACGACCCTTGACACTTGACATGTGGGATTCAACCCATATCGCCATATCGACAGCAGAATTGTCTCCCCTGCCACTGACTCCTGTGGCTGGCGCTGGCCCAACAACATAGCATGTTTTATGTCTGCCTGAGGATGCCCACGGCGACAAACAGCATGTCACACACCAAACAAACACCCCCCATGACTCTCTGGCTGCATTGGGTATGCCACGCCACGAATGTCCAATTCAAGGGTGTGATTCACTCCGTGGAACCTAGCCATGAAAGACGAAAAACCCACTGTTGTACGAAAAAGGATCTTCCAACAGGCCATGCCATCCACATTGGACCAGTCGGAGTTTTTTTCATGTAGTGGATTCCAGTAGGGGAGGTGATTTCAGAGATCCCATGACCCGCTCCTCCAACCCATGACCGGGTCTCAGTAGCAAAAGGTGATGCTGTAAAGCTTTCCATTGTGTCCTGCGACAGGTCACGGTGGAACTTCCAGGAGTGTAGGGTGAAACTTCGTTCGGGTGCTAGCAAGGGGATGGGAACTCCCTCTTCCTTGCTTAATGGGGTATATCAATACACCTGGCTGCTGCTCCTTCCTGAGCATCAGCTTGTTAGTGAGTGATTTCACATGGCACAAACTCATACGCTCTGATGAACTCAGCCAAGCCATTTGACAGGAAAAAGGTGTTGGGGGGACTATTGCAATCCCTGTCACTCTGCGTGCAAATACCCCGGTACTGTATATGATATTATATAGATATATGCACTATACACATTCTCACATTATGCATGTTAAGTTGCTTGGGGACCGTCGTTCGTTGTTTCGGGGGAATTAGCGCAGAAGAAGTGTTTTTGACCCTTGCGGACCTCTGAAGAATTGGTTGTTCAGAACTAACAAAGGGTATAAAACACGTCTTGTTTTTTTTGCGTTGTTAGTGGCAACATACGAGACCCAAAGGACTATTTCATAGGTTTGTTTGTCTCGTGAGTGGTGAGTGAACGGCCATGGTAAAAGCTTTGTAGACGTTGTAAACCTTTGTAAGTTTGTTTGTAATTCAACAACTCTGTCAACTCTTTGCAAAAGTTGCAAACTTTGTACAAATTCTTAAGACTTTGTGAAAGTTTTGTAAACTTTGTATAACTTTGTAAAAATACAAAACTTTGTAAACGTTCTAAAAACTGTGTAAAACGTTGCTCTAACTTTGAAGAATAATTTGAAGAACTCCAAAACTTCGTAAAAGGTTTGTAAACCTTTTTACAAAGTTTGCGAATTTTACAACGTCTTAATAAAGTTTTACCAAGTTCTTACACAGTTTTACAAGTTTAAAGGTTGACAAAGCTTACAAAGTTTGACAAAGTTTAAAAATGTTTTACAAAGTCTACAAAGTGTTGACAAAGTTTACCAAGTTTATACCAAGTTCACTACGTTTTTACAAAGCTTTCAAAGTTGGTACAAAGTTTACAAAGTTTTACACAGATTTTATGAAGTTTGCAAAGTTTTGAAAGTTTTACAACTGTTTACCAAGTTTACAAAGTTATACAAAGTTTACAATATTTTAACACAGTTTACAAAGTTTTGAACAATTTCCAAAGTTTACCCAGTTTACAAAGGTTTTACCATTAAAAAATCAATTAAAGACGTATTGAAAGTTTTACAATGTTGCTGCAATGTTGACAAAGTTTTTACAAAGTTTACACAGTTTTGCAAAGTTTTGATAGTTTACAAAGCTTGTACAAAGTTTATAAAATCTTTACAAAGATTGCAATTTTTACAAATTCACATGGAGTTTTTTCAAAGTGTACAAACATTTGCAAACTTTACATAGTTTACAAAGCTTTCACAAAAGTTGCAAAGTTTATACAGTTTACAGAGTTTTTGCACAGCATTGAAAGTTTACAACGATTTTAGAAAGCTTTGGAATTTGACAAAGTTCTTGCAAAGTTCGGAATTTTCACAGTTGTTCAATTTTTACAGAGTCTACAAAGTCTCACAAAGTGTTTACAAAGTTTTCAAAGTTTTTACACAGTTTACAAAGTTGTACAACGTTTTTACAAAGTTTACAACAGCTTTTTCAAGTTTACAAAGTTTTTACAAAGTTTACAAAGTTTTTACAAAGTTT